GCAGGGAGTGGGAGGGAGAGATGACATGACATGACGACACGGCCCGTGACGCAACACAGCACGACGCTGGCTGAAGCAACATGACATGGCCCATGACGCGCGCCAGCACGACGCTGCTGACGCGACACGACACGGCCCATGACGCAGCACAGCACGACGCTGGCTGACACGACATGACACGGCCCATGATGCAGCACAGCACGACGCGCTACAGCCCATAACACAGCACAGCACGACGCTGGCACGACACGACACGCGACGATGTACCTATGAGTGACTTGACGTGCTCCGACAGTTTATCCGGCGTGTCCGTCGGCTTAAACTCCTGCCCAAGCTCTACGATGAGCTTTGCATAGCCCTCACTCTCCTCCCGTAACAAGTTGAACTTCTGCTGCTTGTAGCTGAAGCCGAAAAGCAAACACACTCATGTTTGACTCAGGCTCAAGATTTGTGACAAATGACAAGCGACTGTGACGAGCGAAGCCCACTTATCCCTCCCCTCTTCACTACCAATTTGCATCTAGATAGCAAAAGGTGGAGAGCAAGAACAAGAGAGAAGGGAGAGAGAGGGGGGAGAAAGAGAAGGGTAAAGAGAGAGTGGGAGCTAATAAGAGAGGGAGAGAACTGAAAAGAAAGAGAGAGCAGAAGACGGAGGAGAGAGATAACGAGTGAGACAGTGAGAGAGAGAGAGACAGCGAGAGCGAGAGAGAAAGAGAGCAAGAGTAGGAGAGAGAGAAAGAGAGAGAGAGAGAGATAGATAGATAGAGAGAGAGAGATATAGAGACATAGAAAGAGAGAGAGAGAGAGAGAGAGAGAGAGAGAGAGAGAGAGAGAGAGGGGTAGGAAGAGGGGGGAGGAGAGAGTACTGGTCTGTAGATCATGATATAATGATCAGGAACAGCACTTTGTCACAACTCTTTCTTACAGAAGCATTTCACGTCCGTGTGCGACATCTTCACTTCCCAAAACGACGAGGTTATAATATGAAAGTGTCAATGACACTGTAGCTCACCACAAAAAAGGACACAAATGAGTGAGTAATAAGAAGGCATTTTAATTGAGCAACCATCGACGTACATTATAGAAACGATTGCCATTTGTATATCGACAATAATAATTTATAAACCAAAATGAATCACAATTTGTGACCGTAGATGGCGCTATACCCGCTTTGTAGTGATGGCGCTTGAAATAAATAGGTTATGCTGCGTTCCAACATGTTTTGTAAATCTTTACTCTAATATAGACGTTTTATCGACAGAGTGGAGAGGAAATACCAATTTTGCATTAAAGATATTGTCAATGAAATCTTGTAAAACGAACCAGACGAGTGTGACACCACAGACTGTTTGTGTTTATATAATATGCTATATAATTGCCAAACCCTACCTAATTTGCATAATTTTTTTTTAAATATTCAAACCCCTAGCGCTTATTCCTTCACATACCAAAAATGAGCAAAATCCGTTGAACCTGAACTGACTAATGGCAATTCCAATTTTTGCCAAAAAATTGCCGTGGCTCGAAAGTACGTCGACTGGCGTACTTCAAAATAGGACGTTCCATATCCAGTAACAACTACACCCAATTTCAAACATGTGGGTCAAACGGTTCCTGAGTTATCGTTGACCGAAACCAAATGTTGACGAACGAACGGACGGACGGACGGACGAACGACGGACGACGACCCATGGCAATAGCTCAACTTGACGATGTCAAGGTGAGCTAATAAATCCAGGAACGCGATCATGAGAGCAATATCCACACCGAGGAATGCGAGTGCACACTGTGAGCATGCTCACTTGTCGCACATACTTACAAGAGCTTCGTCTTTGTGCGCACAAACTTCTGCTTAAAGTTCTTCTTGTTGAGGACGCCGACGCCATCTAGTGTGTCCTCGTTCATGCGCACGGTCACCGTCTCTGAGGGCAACACGCCCTGCAAGGTGAGACGAAGATCACAGGTAAATTACAGCAGCAGCGTAAGTGACACTCAGACAGAGATTAACGAATAAAACAGCACACAGGGATGAGTGTGTAACACGCACACGCTTGGGGACAGTTCGATTCAAAATCCTCTTGAGTGTGCAATTTGTTAGTACTCCATGACATTGCAATTTGACGATTTCATTATTCAATCTTAATTTTGTGAGCGGTTAAATCATTCGCCAATTGCATTTGCCACTTAGTGTAGTAAAATCTCCTTTGTTATTTATTTATCACATTTTGTGAAAGTGGTGAACGCCAACGGTAGCCCTGCAAGTTTTAGTCTGGTTGGAATACTTCTCACAATGAAATGTCACTGAACCTGGATCATCTGGATTAACTTACCATGCATAGCTTCAGCAGAGTCAAATACCTCTCCCTAGCCTGGGGCTCCTCCAAAGCAAGTGTCTCTATGTCTGAATTACAAATATACAAAACAATCAAATAAACGATTGAAATTCCGACGACAGCTCACCCATTAAACTAGGTGTAAACTCTGTAGAGCGATTCCTGGTGGCATAGCATCCTATAATAGTATGATGCCCTATTCTTCTGTAAACGAATGGTGGAGTTTTTTGCTTACCTAATATGGTCAAGACATCAATTGCTACAGAAAGCACCTCCCGGTGAATCTCCTACAGAAACAATAGATTCATTTTAGCACCTACAAAGAACCGTTCTCCAATTAATTTCTGCACTTAATAAAACACTGCGAAGAACAAAAAATACAGTTAAAGGACAATTGAAGTCAAATTTCATAACTTCTGTAACGTTTTTATATAAAAATACATTCAATAACGTATTCAATTTCAAATCTGGCGCCCAATTAATAATAAACACAATAGAAATAACTGAATAGTAATCTAGGTCATGTGAGGTCAGCCCCATGTTGATCGAGCGACGCCACGCTAACGCACGTTGAGTGTTGTGTATAAGATGGAAACAGACGGCGATAATTTCAATGATTCTAGTGATTACTCAGATGATGATGATATCTTTATAGTGACTTGTCACCAGTTGGATATAGGTTGAGCCTGAATATACACAAGAAGAAATTGAGGAGGAATAGTCTGAAAAAGCAACGCAAAGAGTCGGCACAAACTTCTCAAGAATCAGAACAGCACAACATGGCGGAATGGAAGCTTCGGTACCCGATAGGACTGTAGACAAATATGCTGTTCTTGTGGCGTTTGTGAATTAATGAGTACTAGCTATTACCCGTCCTACAGACGGGATTGAGTACGGTCTGATTTGAGGATGGGGGTTTAACCATTTATCTCTCACTTTTATTTGAGGATGTATTTAGAGTAAACGAAAAACACTGACTATTTAGACTAGAGTCATATACCAATATTTGCTTTAAAAAAAATTGTATCCAAATATATATAAAATCTGAAATTTACCTTAAATGACACACAATTTCACTTATTTAGAATTATTTTTGAAAATATCATTCTGGTTAGAAGCATCAATAATAAGTCAAATTCTTAAAAAAAAAGAATAAAAATGCATTGTTAATTTTTAAGATATATTTTCTTGAAAAGTTAGTGGACGGCGGCGGGCAGGGTTACACCTCCCGTTGTCAATATATTGCACACACGCGCGCACACACATCACCACAGGCGCGCACGCACGCACACATGCACACACACACACGCATACATACATACATGCATGCATGCATACATACATACATACATACATACATGCATGCATGCACCCACGCACGCACGCACGCACGCACGCACGCACGCACGCACGCACGCACGACACACAACACACACACACACATACAACTGCAGCCGTTCTCTCGTTAGGTTTGTCTTAATTTCGCCTCACAGCTGTGCGCGGCAGTTGGTAGCTGTTTATACACCGCAGCCGCAATGGCTTTGGTGTGTGCGTGCATGTGTGCGCGTGCCGGTGTGCGTGCGTTTAGTGTGGCTTGCTATGCTAGGTGAAGGCTCCAGCTAATTAAATGATTATTATGATACCTTTAATCTACATTTAGTATAGCTATATTGTCATTAAAACCCGTGAGAAAACACATTAATACTTTAACACAATTTCAAAAGGTTATGGTATATATAGTGTGGCATGAGTGTGCTCTAAATTAGACAATCGAAACGGCGTTTAAAAATGTGAGAGCATTGGGAGCCGGGTAGGCGCGGGCACGGTTACACCTCCCGTTGTCAAATATTTGCACACACGCGCGCACGCGCGCACACACCGTATTCACACACATACGGGCGTGCGGAACCACATACTACATTTACACAAACACGGGCGCGCACACACGCACACGCACACGCACACACACACACACACACACGCACGCAAATTTTCGCCTCACAGCTGTGCGCGGCAGTGCTTGGTTGTTTATACACGCACCGCAATGGCTTGGTGCGTGCGTGTGTGCGCATGCGCGCATTGGCGATCTTAAAAAGTTGGTGCGGGTTTCCGACGAATGCCGAAGTTTACTTCGGGCACATAACTTTTTAGAAAATTGCCTCAAAAGTCACTTTACGATAGAAAAATCGCGTTCTAACGTAGCGGAATGTATTCGCGACGCCCAGAAGGGGCCCAGCTCGATATCGCGCGAGCACACGCGGCACACGGTTTCGGAGGAGATACGGGAAACGACACTTCGGCTCTTTCTTACTATTATATAGTAGATGGCACCTGAATGTATAATATCTGCCATGAGAATGAGAAGACAAGGGTTAGTGTAGACCAGGTGAGTCATGCGAGTACACTGATCACCGGGCTTATCACGCTCGGTCAGAATCATGTATCTGTAGGGCCTACATGTACATGCATCTACGCACGGAAGTCATGTTACATATACCGTGAATGCATTATCCACACAGGTAATTATGTATGTTACATGATATAAGTACATTTACAGGCTACATGTTGTGTCTTGACATGATAAATAAGCATTGAGACAATAACAAAAAACATCGAATATTTAACCACCGCAACACACTATGTTTACATAATGACGTCGCTCAACATGGGCTGTGACGTCACATGTTCTGATTACTATTCAGTTATTCTATTGGTGTTTATTACTAATTGGCGCCAGATTTGAAATTAATACGTTATTGAATGTATTTCTATGGTATAAAAACTACATGAAGTTATGAAATTTGACTTCAATTGTCCTTTAAATAGGAAGTGGTTTTCAACATAAACACAAATTTTAAGATTACTGCACAGATAAACAAAACTCTACCCGGATTTCTTTTAATGCAGACACGGCCTGTTCTGGTTTTAGGTTTCCATTGATAACCATTCGAAAGACATCGTGCAGCGCCCTCTTGAGATCTGAAGAGGAAACACCAGAGCATGATTGTGATGACTCCACACGCAACCTGTACAATGCCGATAATCCTCAATTATTATGCATATCTGCACAATTACAGAGGGTACAAGATAGATGAGCGAGATAAACAGATGCACAAGTCCTCTATTTGTGTTCCGTATGAGATGGGCACACACACAGGTTTTCTGTTTATGTTGTGCATGCCGTTGGCAGTTGTACAATTCCGCTACATGTGTTCTGCATAAGACAGGCATATATACAAGTCAGCGCGAAGGGAGTTGTTGTTCTGGAGTTGGGAAGATACTAAGCACTTTCTACCACAATAAACCAGCCTTCCCTGTAGCAGGATGTTGCAGTACTGTAGTATGCACACATCACAGGGTGTGAAATTAACGCGAGTCCGGAGTCAAATACTCCCTGATTTACTGTCAGATTCCCTGAGTTGACATATATGCAGGAGTCCGTGTGACTCCCAAAAAATTCTGTTATATATATATATACTAGTTCTAGTTCGTTCCAGAGCACAGCCTCGCAGAATTACCGTATTTTTTCAGCAACGATGCAGCCCCATGAATTTCCAAATAGGCACATGTGTTATTGTTAATATCGTTAGTTTTTGACTTAGACTGCGGACGTCCNAGTTGGCAGGCCCCTACTATTTCAAAAATAGGACAGTGTTTATTGTTAAATCGTTAAGTTTTGAACTTCATGACTGCGTGACTCCCTAATTTTGCTGCGCAGGCTCCCTCTTTTTGAGGACAGGTCGTTCAAAAGTTAATTTCTACACCTGCATCAGGATGCGTAGAATACCTTTTTGTGGCTTTGGCGTGAGAACAGCTGCCAAGACATCTGCATGGTCTAACGATGATCTGCACAGCTTCACACTGGAAGAAAAAGTTGTCGCAACACAATGAATATAAAAATTATTAATACTGGATGGGTATATTCACACACTATCTGCATTATTATTTCACACAATAATAATAAAAAAAATATAAATATAAAGGATTTCGGAAACGTGATCTGTTCTATGATTCACAGGAACCCAATTTCCAAACATGAACACTTCCTGGCCCTAAGCCCAGGACTTGAAGTATTACACTGGGTATATTCCCTACCAGTGCTTTGATACAAGCTATACTTATTCACTCAACGCATGCAATACATGATAAGGTGTCAGCTACAGTGCTAGCTCCAAATGGTCTTCTAACCCTAGCAAGACCGTTTCTTGGAGCTAGGAGCTAGGAGCTTGGAGCAATTTTCAAACATTGGCTGCAGCTAAACACGTAGTTGTCGTATTTGACAAGTATCGCCAAAGAACATTCAACAGTATGTGGATAGACCACTAATATGAATCAGATACATCCCCTTCTGGTAACTATCAGTGCGCTACGATGCGCTGGTATTACGGGGTGACAGCGGACTTTTTGGAGACGAATGCAACGCAAAATCACAAATTCGCGCACCATGGTTGGTATCAATTCGGACCTACGATAAAAATCCGCAATGGACAAACAAAGGGAAATTAAACGATCTCTAAGGTCATCAATATAAACCAACGACTACATCACGAGAACATGTCATCTAAGGTTTTTCAAATGGCGCAAGACATTTGTGAACATCTTTGCCACATTGCTTCAAATGAGTGTGTAATTGCCCGTGAGAGCCAATGGCCGGATGGTACTATTTTGTAGTATTTTCTAGCGAGTCCTTTCCAGTTTTGGGTTTCTGTGTACTCAATTGTTGACATGAGCGCAGTGTAAACACATGGCGAGATAAGACAAATTTAGTTGATATGCCTTGTGAGAATTTAGCAGATTATATCCGTGAACTTAAGGAGAATGCACTCTGTTTAGATCGGACAACTGTGAGTTACACACAACGTTTCAACGGTCTTTCTTCACACAAACAAAGGACAGCATAGAATTGAAAAGACATGACCGCAACGAAGTATGTTTTTCCGTAACTTTTAACTTTTGACCAGCGCCATGCACGCAAGCACATAGCTAGCTGTAATAACTACGAAGCAGGACAAATACGCACACACGTGCGTATACTGTATGAACGACCAGTCGCACCAACAACGCACGATAACGTATCACAACACTTATACTTACACATACTTATACAAGTTACCAACACGTGTGAAGTAAACGTTTGACACTTTATTGGAATTTCCATTCAATCTACAAAGAAGAGCAGCTCATGGGACGCTCAGCTCTTTCATTCTATCTTCCTAAAATTCTCGACTGCTCGTGGCAGCAATGGATCGTGCGCCGGCCTACGCACTCGTCGCACGGATCCAAGTGCTGCAGCGGTGCATAAGTGTCGTAGGACGTTCCCGGAAGCGGTCGCGGCGCCTTCGCGAACTGCGCGGCCAAGATCTCCGCTGCAGACGCTTTTGGATCAACACCCCTCCTTTCGCCACCAACGCTGTCTGCTAAGTACCCGTCTCATCTGTGATGCTCATAAGGTGATAGGTCTTTATCTGTATGGAAGCGTGTCAGGCTGTATAGAAGGCAATCAGTCACACAGCCTCGCCGGGCTACTACAGTGCCAGTGTGGTATGGAGTGGAGGACACATCATGATACTAATTAGGCAAAGGCTGGAGGTACGGCAGCCGTCTCTCCAATATACGAGGCTGCCGGTACCGCAGTCCATTCGCGTTCCCACAAACGGAAGAAGACGAGACAAAGATGGCTGCGGCCAATTCAGGTTTCGTAATTATGCCGTTGGAAATAAATTCACGATTTAAGAGTTTTGATGAGTTAGAAAACACTCGGATTAGGTATGAAAATGAACATTATTGTAAACTTTAGTATAAATTACATCAAAAGATCGCGAACAATTGCCTCAGCCCTCAAACGAACGCCACAAAGGGGCTTCAACGAACGATGGCTGCCGTACTTCCAGCCACTTTGTACTAATTATTTGTCTTATTTGTGGATGTGTGTGTGCCAGCGTCCTCTGGACCAATCTACCTGTGGGCCCCATCACAGGCGTTTTACGTAAGTATCAACACCATTCAACAAAACCAATTAATTCCACGATGGTGCTTCTCCACTCTGCCAACATAGCAACCTAAGCAGCATGACCTCACAATCACACTCACAGTCACAGACCGCGTCACGCGCAATGCGATGTACAAATAACTATTGATTGAAATAGCCCACGTGTTGCTGTGCAACCGAACAGTACTTTCAAAGTGTTAAATATAAAAATTTTGATAAATAAACTGAATGAAGCAACGACACATCACTCATCAGTCGGCGTTAAATTTAAAATTCCGAAATAAACAAGCAAATCAATAACGCTGATAGGGTCTATGTCCTCCGGGGTACTATAGAAGGGTACCCTGGGTACGGTTCGATATATAATATATCGGAAAGTACCTCGGGGTACTATACGATATGTCGCTGCGTACCCTGCATTGTCCCACCGTACCCTGACTTTATGCTCCCGTTCCTTGTTTCCGGTCCGTTCCTGCAAAATATTCGTTTCAGTATTCGCATTTCTTCTGGAAATTGTATGTATCACCATGTAATTATGCAACATGCAGGTTGATAGCACTGTTGTGCCCGTTGGTGGTGTACATTTGGAAAAATTTCTCTCAGATCATGAATATTTGAATGATATGAAAATGAATATGAAAATGAAAATATGAATATATATGAAAAAGGAAAAAGAAAAATATAGTCAAACATAGCATACATTTTTATTGGATTGCGATGTTTTGAGGTTTCTTCTATGTGTCATGTGATGTGGTAACTTGACAGAGTGTATGTATTACGATATCAGTTGGCTGAAAGCAAGGGTACGGTAGGACAATGCAGGGTACGGTGGGACAATGCAGGGTACGCAGCGACATATATCGTATAGTACCTCGAGGTACTTTCCAATATATCGAACCGTACCCAGGGTACCCTCCCTTATAGCTCTAGTACTATACTAGCCCGCGTACAGTTGCCGCATGGCTATAGAACATTTTATGCCAGGTTTCGTAACTGCACCTGTCCCCCTGGTCCACTTGATGCCTAGAATCTATGAGTAAAGAACTAGGAACAGTCTCCAGAAAGCTAGCGATTTATAAACCTCAGACTAAGCAACAGTGATCTGGATCGCTTTCCGTATAGTGGTGGAGCAAAGAAGAACATCGCGCACGACATCGCCTATGTTGTAAACTTCATAGCCACCTGGAATAAGTGTCTCAAACGCGAGATCTACGAGTCACCATCTGTCCGCTGGGAAGACAGTCAGAACATTCCAACGCCAAATAGATAAACTCGAAGCATCTGACTGCTTCACGAAAATTGAGGCCCAGAAAGGGTGACCACCAACTTTCGAAATAGCCCAGAGGAAATCGAGTAGGACTTGACCTACGTTGTCATAAGCGCCGTATTGGCACGTTTTAGGCGTATGAGGAGTGCGGCGCCGGTTTCGGAACTGAAAACAGCTAGTTCTCAGAGCCGCCACTACAACCGCCGCCCGATGTCAGAATCCTCTTCATGGCCTGACAACATCGCTAAGAGGTGGTAGATGATTCCTTGTGTATGGTGAAGAATGATGAAGACCACCTGGATGACAATGTCGAGCGTTCCGTGGAGCGATGTCGTTGACGAGGGTGTATACATAGACTGAACGAAAAGAGAATTTGTAGTTACTAGGAAGCGAAGAGAAGACGTTGCGGGTGTTTGTCGGTGAGTAAGGATGGAGTTCCATTCAGCCCCGTGCTCGAATAGGAGTCACTCTCAGAGAATTGTCCTTGAGCGTACGAAAGCATAACAGGACATGCGATCCTTGTCATGGTTGTAAGCCAGCACAAGTGTCGCCATACGATTCCGAGAATTGGCAGGAAACTTTGCGCCCCCCTGCGACACTCTACTCAACAAAAGTCTGACAAAAAGTTTGAGATGTCAGAGGCTATGAAAACAGCTTTCGCCGGGACACGTCAAAGAAATGCTAGTAGCAATTTCCTGGTTTAGGCTCGATATACGTTGCCTGGGTCAGCGCCCGTTCTGGTTAGTACAGCCGATGCAGCGTGCAATGTCTGTTTTGGGTTTGTCCTGAAGACAGAAGCAACCGAAACCAGGTATGGAAACCAATCCATTGGTGGCAGCGTAGGCACTAACGTGAACTCGAGAAGTACCGGATGCCAATCGAATGCCGAGATGAAAGCACTCTCGGTGGGCATTAAGAGGGCTGGGTAGTCCTTGGGATTACCTTACGTTTCAAAGTGTACACGGTATACACCAACCCCTTTGTATCGATCGACGAACAATCTACGACTAGACGAAGTCCCCAACCCGAGTCTTCGATCGTTCGCCTACATGGCAAAGCACATGAATTTTGACATGGAAGTCGGAAATAATCAGGTAAAACCAACTTGATGGCGATGCATTTTTTTCGTAACCGGACGACAAGAGCTCAGACGACAGACCTGGGAGGAGGGCGAGAGACACTCCGCTACCGTAATGAGCATCCGCACAGCCTGCTGAGAGAACAGCAGATGGTCCTATTACCTCCAGCGACGTTCAGTAGAAGCCTGCGATCGTGATAATGAGTACCAAATACTGAAGGAAGGAACGAATACTTTAATGAATTTCTGGACCAGAGAGCGAGACTTGGATGGCTCAATCGCAGTGAAGTAACTGGAACGTACATCGTTCGGACACCTGCGATGTCATTATGATGCGTTTTTTACTGCATGGGTAAGACCTGTTGATTCTACCAGTCTCAGAAAAGAAACACTGTGGACCTGCAGGGGGCTGGTCATAGAGGTTATGAGCTACAAAGGCTAGGCAGGCTCATAGTTATTGGCCCCGCATTGATGCGTATGATAGAACAGTTCTGTCAGTCTGGTAACGAGCTGTGAGAGGACCTACCTAGCATCCAAAGGAGCACGATGATGACTACCGAATCCCAAAAGCGCAGCGTTCAATTCATAACGTCTGACTTTGTGATTGTGCATGGTCGCACATTTTAATAGTCACCGACTGGCTAGGTTCTTGGCTGGTTCATAGTTCGTGAGATTGCGCTCACAGATGCTAATTCCACGATCCGCGAAGCTAAGACTGATATTCGCTGACACAGCAGTGCCTGAGGTGCCATACCTGATAGATGGACACCATTCCCGTCAATTGGTGTTCAAGGTGTCTGGTATGAGGTGGCGGAGGAGATGATATGCCTATTACCTATTTTTACGCAGAGTAAAGTAGTTAATGCCGTCTTGTTCGCAGAAACATGCGGGTAAAGACCAGGCGAAGCAACCTACTACGCAGACGTGTGTGTACGAAGTGTAAGGTGGATTTTGAAAATGGACTCGTGGTTCGTATCCATCAGAATACACCCCACAAGAGTACAGGGATAGCCCGTGCGGGTTCACTATAAATGGACACCTGTGTGAATGAAGTAATTCCAGCACCACAAGGAGTGCCCTGAGCAGGAAGGACTGGCGTATAAACAATAGCTGACTATGATGAAGTGATATCAGCGTGAAACGCCCAGAAAGCTGAGAAATTACCGCCCTCGCTGTTAAACTCGCTGTCTGCCCCTTGAGTGTAGGTGATCCTGTCTTAGTATCGGTACAGGTGTAACAGAAGATGGCGATTAAATCGGGGGACGGGTGTGCAAGAGCGTAACCTTAGATAGAAAGTATTTTCATCCGTGCTTCCATCAGGCCTCGACCAGTGAGAAATCGGATCGGTATGCTGAGAGTAGGATTCCCTTCCAACCACTGTACCAACTGCAGGAACGGTCGAAATGGTCACCAATGACTCCAGAGGCGAAACCTCTCAGAAGCTACAGAGCCGGAGATTACGAATGAAGACATAAGCTGACTGACCCAACCAGTCGCCCGTTGGAACGCATTCGAACCTTTCGAAACCCCGTGAGGACTGCGGTAGGCCAGATGGACAATCGCTATTTCTGAATGGACAAACCAGTGACAAAGTATGAATGTAATGTCAGTCTGAAAGACTTCCTGAACCAGTTTCGAAAGGCTGGCGGTAACAGGAAACCACCTGTACGTTGAGTGACTATGTGTAGGACTCGCTATAACGGTCGTAATTCAATGGATTGTTTTTTTTTTGTTTATACTGATTTTCGTTTCAGTAACATACTGTTCAATGTTGTATTCATTTATAGGTATGCATTCTTAGTACGATCTGTGTAAGGAGGGAGATGTACATGATAACTGGAAAACGTTAAAGTTATGTTATTCTTTTGTACGCCCAAGAGGTGGCCGCCACTGTGAGTCGAGGAAGAGGAGGATTATGGCCGATATCATAGCCTTACATCGTCCTGTAACGTGTCTGGATTTGATGGTTAAGTTTAGTTTGAAACCGATAGTTAAGATGGTAACACAGCGAGACAGTTCGTGGAATCTGTATTCGAATGTCTCTTAGAACACGAGATATATACACCCAGCGTGGGAAATGGTACAGAGAAGCGGTTAGGATTCTTAAAGTTTAGATAATTTACGTTTAATAGCAGCAGTATGCCCCAAAGCGCGACTTCTTTGCCGCGGTTGTGGACCCTCTCGGCAACGTCATGTTAGCAGGGAGGGAGTTGTGGCTATATGCCTCGAACCACAGAGAATGAGCTTTTAATTTAATTTACTACTTCCTTTGAAGAACTTAACCTATAAGGTGTTTAACACATGGTGATAACTGATACCCTTAGAGTGGCATAGCACTACTTGCGTTTTTTCGTTTTCAAATGCTGTTGCTGCTAAACGGTGACGTCACCGAGAATGTAATAGCGCTGTCATCATAGCCTGCCCATGTGTTTTTGCTACATTTCGGGTTGACGTCACGCGTGTCACACGGTGGCGGCCATTTTTCTCGTGGAAGCATTGGC